CATATCCCCCCTTATGTATTATACATGGAGATCATATCCCCCCTTATGTATTATACATGGAGATCATATCCCCCCTTATGTATTATACATGGAGATCATATCCCCCCTTATGTATTATACATGGAGATCATATCCCCCCTTATGTATTATACATGGAGATCATATCCCCCCTTATGTATTATACATGGAGGTCATATCCCCCCTTATGTATTATACATGGAGATCATATCCCCCCTTATGTATTATACATGGAGATCATATCCCCCCTTATGTATTATACATGGAGATCATATCCCCCTTATGTATTATACATGGAGATCATATCCCCCCTTATGTATTATACATGTTGATCATATCCCCCCCTTATGTATTATATATGGAGATCATATCCCCCCTTAATCTCCACTTCTCAAGAGAGAATAAATTCAGTTCCTCTAATCTTTCCTCATAGCTGAGCTCCTCCATGCCTCTTATCAGTTTGGTTGCCCTTCTCTGTACTTTCTCCAGTTCCCCAATGTTCTTTTTGTGAATTGGTGCCCAAAACTGAACTGCATATTCCAGATGAGGCTTTACTAATGATTTGTACAGGGGGGAAATTATATATACAGTATATATATTTTGCCCTAAGAAATATAATCTAAATTAAACCAATTACGATTAAATAACAATGCATCTAAAATATGTGGATTCATATAATTGTATAATGTCATATAACAAAACTGAATATGCAAATATAAAATCAATATAATCAATCAATGATATTATCCTAAAACCAAATACAGTGTATAATGGTTTATTGGATGTTTCTAACCATAAAATCATGTAAAATAAATACTAATAAATACTAATAAATACTAACGTAGCACACTCCTAGCATAGACTAGACTGCTTGGTCAAGTTAGTTGGCGGCACTGTAATCAGAGGAGCAAGGGTTGATTACCTACAGCTGCTCAGGGTCTCACAGGCTGCTGCTCTAGTACTTCCCTCATCTTCTAGAGCAGGGGTCTCCAAACTTTCTAAACAAGTTAACTGTCCTTCAGGTTTAGGAGGGCTGGACTGTGGCCATTGGGAGTAGAAACTGCCCCAGCATCAGTGGAAGTAAACTACGCCCCATCATAGGTATCAGTGGGAGGAATGTGCCCCATCATTGGTATCAGTGGGAGGAATAGTGCCCCATCATTGGTATCAGTGGGAGGAATAGTGCCCCATCATTGGTATCAGTGGGAGGAATAGTGCCCCATCATTGGTATCAGTGGAGGAATAGTGCCCCATCATTGGTATCAGTGGGAGGAATAGTGCCCCATCATTGGTATCAGTGGGAGGAATAGTGCCCCATCATTGGTATCAGTGGGAGGAATAGTGCCCCATCATTGGTATCAGTGGGAGGAATAGTGCCCCATCATTGGTATCAGTGGGGAGGAATAGTGCCCCATCATTTGTATCAGTGGGAGAAATAGTGCCCCATCATTGGTATCAGTGGGAGGAATAGTGCCCCATCATTTGGTATCAGTGGGAGAAATAGTCCCCATCATTGGTATCAGTGAGAGGAATAGTGCCCCATCATTGGTATCAGTGGGAGGAATAGTGCCCCATCATTAGTGTCAGGGGGAGGAATAGTGCCCCATCATTGGTGATTGTAGAAGGAATAACGCCCCACTATTGGTATCAGTGAAAGGAATAGTGCCCCATCATTGGTGTCATTGGAAGAAGTAATGCTCAATCTTTGGTGTCATTGGGAGGAATGGTGCCCCATTATTGGTGCCTCTTTGTTATAAAGATATATAATATCGCTAAAAGTCTGTGGACCCCCCTCCAAATGATGGCGTTCAGGTGTCTCCAGAGAAGGATACTGTTAACACTACTTCATACTTTTGTGTGCATGGGCAGAATAATACCCATCAGTGGTGTGCCATTGGTGGTGCCAGTGGAAGGAGTAGTGCCTCGGCATTGGTGTCAGTGGGAGGAATGATGCCCAACCATTGGTGTCAGTGGGAGTAATGTCACCCCATCATTAGCATCGTTGGCATGAATAATGCCCCACTGTTGGTGTCATTCAGAGGAATGATGCCCCAAGGGCCAGGTATAGGCAAGCAAGAAGCCACATACAGCCCCTGGGCCACAGTTTGGGAACACAGTTCTAGAGGGTTATAGAATCAATGTGGGAGGAAGCACAGGGCTTGCAGCCTGAATATTTATGGAACTCCAGCCAATCCCTGGGGGGGGGGGTGCCCAGTAGGTGTCAGGGTAGCTCATAAATAGTCTGAGGCCTGAGCAGCAGGTCCAGTTCTGCTGAAAGAGCTCTGCCCCTGATACAGGACTTTACAAGCCTTCAGGAAGACACGGCAGTCCCTGGTAGGCATAGCTGGGGGCCCTATTCACAAGTATGAGACGAAGGATTAAGCTGGGTCTGGAGAAGTTCAATGGAGAGAACCAGGAGGAAGATGTTGGGAAAGTGTCAAACTGTCTTATGGTGGCGAGTCTACATCTCCCTCACTAGGATGAGCCTGGTGGATATTGACAGGAGGCAACCGATGATCCTTCAGCTGTGTGGGTAAAGGACCCCAGTGCTGATGAGTAGTGATTGTGTGTAGCTTCAAAACTGTGGGAGGAGTACTAGTCACCATCAGCCTAGAGATCCTGTGGGACATTCCCTTTTTGTATGGTGCAGCCAGAAGGTTAAGGAGTCCTCCAGTTATCAAGCTCTACAGTTTATCGGGGTATTGAGGTATCGCATATTCCCTCTCCCTATCAGTTCATCGTTCCCAATAAAAAACCCAAAAAAAGAAACCCCTAGACCAGTGGTCACTAAATGGCAGACCGCGGTCCGCAAACGGTCCCAACAGCACTGCCGCCCGGACCACCAGACTGCAATAACAGATCAGCCGCTGAGCAGGGTAGTTGTCAAGGCAACATGACATCATGTGTGTGCCCCACCCCTTACAGCTCACTTTCTCTCCGACTCTGCCTTCAAGGTAGGGGGCACTCTGATGGGAACATGGAATGTTAAGGGGCACTCTGATGGACACAACATAGAATGTGCCCATCAGAGTGCCCACCAGAGTGCCCCTAATATAAAATGTGCCCATCAGCATGCCCCTTATTTTATGTTAAGGCGCACTCTGATGGGCACATTTTATGTTAAGGGGCACTCTGATGAGCAAATTTTATATTAGGTGGCACTCTGATGGGCACATTTTATGTTAAGGGGCACTCTGATGGGCACATTTTATGTTAAGGGACACTCTGATGAGCACTTTTAATGTTAAGGGGCACTCTGATGAGCACATTTAATGTTAAGGGGCACTCTGATGGGCACATTTTATGTTAAGGGGCACTCTGATGGGCACGTTTTATGTTAAGGGACAGTCTGATGAGCACATTTTATATTAGGTGGCACTCTGATGGGCACATTTTATGTTAAGGGGCACTCTGATGGGCACATTTTATGTTAAGGGACACTCTGATGGGCACATTTTATGTTAAGGGACACTCTGATGAGCACTTTTAATGTTAAGGGGCACTCTGACGGGCACATTTAATGTTAAGGGGCACTCTGACGGGCACATTTAATGTTAAGGGGCACTCTGACAGGCACATTTTATGTTAGGGGACACTCTGATGAGCACTTTTAATGTTAAGGGGCACTCTGATGAGCACATTTAATGTTAAGGGGCACTCTGACGGGCACATTTAATGTTAGGGGGCACTCTGACAGGCACATTTTATGTTAAGGGGCACTCTGACAGGCACATTTTATGTTAAGGGGCACTCTGATGGGCACATTTTTTATTAGGTGGCACTCTGATGAGCATATTTTATGTTAAGGGACACTCTGATGGGCACATTTTATGTTAAGGGGCACTCTGATGGGCACATTTATGTTAAGGGGCACTCTGATGTGCACATTTTAATGTTAAGGGGCACTCTGATGGGCACATTTAATGTTAAGGGGCACTCTGACGGGCACTTATGGGCACTCTGACAGGCACATTTTATGTTAAGGGGCATTCTGATGGCACATTTTATATTAGGTGGCACTCTGATGGATACATTTTATATTAGGTGGCACTCTGAAGAGCACATTTTATGTTAAGGGGCACTCTGACAGGCACATTTTATGTTAAGGGCACTCTGATGAGCACATTTTAATTTTAGGTGGCACTCTGATGAGCACATTTATGTTAAGGGGCACTCTGATGGGCACATTTAATGTTAAGGGGCACTCTGACAGGCACATTGAATGTTAAGGGGCACTCTGATGTGCACATTTTATGTTAGGGGGCACTCTGATGGGCACCTTTTATGTTAGGGGCACTCTGATGGGCACGTTTTATGTTAAGGGACAGTCTCTGACAGGCAAATTTTATATTAGGTGGCACTCTGATGGGCACATTTTATGTTAAGGGGCACTCTGATGGGCACATTTTATGTTAAGGGACACTCTGATGAGCACATTTTAATGTTAAGGGGCACTCTGATGAGCACATTTAATGTTAAGGGGCACTCTGACAGTGCACATTTTATGTTAAGGGGCACTCTGATGGGCACATTTTATATTAGGTGGCACTCTGATGGATACATTTTATATTAGGGGCACTCTGAAGAGCACATTTTATGTTAAGGGGCACTCTGATGGGCACATTTTATATTAAGGTGGCACTCTGATGAGCATATTTTATGTTAAGGGGCACTCTGATGGGCACATTTTATGTTAAGGGGCACTCTGATGGGCACATTGAATGTTAAGGGGCACTCTGACGTGCACATTTTATGTTAAGGGGCACTCTGATGGGCACATTTTATGTTAAGGGGCACTCTGACAGGCACATTTTATGTTTAAGGGGCACTCTGATGGGCCCATTTTATGTTAAGGGTCACAAATGGGCACATACAGTTGAATGGAGCACTCTGATGGGCACATGTGATGGAAAGGGGCACTCTGATGGGGAATATGATGTAAAGGGGCACTCTGATGGGGAAATATGATAGAAAGGGGTACTTTGAGAGTAAGGGGGCACTCTTACGGGAATACCTGCTGTAAGTTGGCAATGTGATGGGGATACCTAAGGTAAAGGGGCACTCTGATGGGGACAACTGATGTAAGCTAGCAATGTGATGGGGATACCTGATGTAAAGGGGCACTCTGATGGGGACAACTGATGTAAGCTAGCAATGTGATGGGGATACCTGATGTAAAAGGGGCACTCTGATGGGGACAACTGATGTAAAGGAGCACTCTGATGGGCACACCTGATGTGATGGGAATACATGATGTAAAGTTACACTCTGATGGCGACACCTAGTGTAAGGGGGTACGCTGATGGGCACACCCTATGCGGACCTTGGCCAGAAGAAAATTTTAGTGACCAGACCGGTAAAATGCTATGTGTGCTCTAAAGGGGAAATAGGACTCCTTGGCGGCTCCTTGGCCACACTAATAAAATCAGATCTAATAACACCAGCAGAGCATCAGTATTATTACAGTATTGTAAACACCTCCAGCAGTCCATACATTGGGAATAATTGGCATACTCATAGTAGCCAGGTTGCCCATATATTACAGTCTCAAATTTGCTTTATTGGGACCTCAGGTTTGGAAATTCAGAACGTCAGAGACTTGGGAGTTTTTTTTTAAAGGTCTGAGAATAATCAAACTTTTCAGAAATGTGTTCTCTGCTTTAAAAACCATTGATGAATGCTTGCCAGAACTTTTTGAACTGCTCATTAAAGGCTGCACATTTCTTTGAAGTTCTCATAAAAACCATGTAAATGAGCTAATGTATGCCTGATGTTTTCACCAGGTATGAGCAGGCTCTAAGGATACAGGGGGCTTCTGATGGGGGTATAATGGACAAACCCACTTTCTTCCTGATCTTTTCACACTCCACCCAGAATTGCATTGTGTTTGAGAGAGAATTTGCAATTTTCCAAAATCACTCTGAAATACATAACCTTCATCTTACATGACTGGAGATTTTAATCGCTGAGTGTTTGGGATTCTACTATTGTGCGGATCTTGAGCATTACAATTCCCGGACTCCCACAAGTCTGCCCTCTGACACCGTTTTCATACATTTCTGTAATTGCCTAGAAAACTGCAAAACGCTGTGAACTCCATGGAATAAACCTGTTATAGAAGTGTAATTGGTACGATTATCAGATGTCAGTCCTTGGTAGCCTGCTCTTTTATTATACCTGGAAACAAAAAAAAAATTGATTCTGTTGAGTGAATCATAGCAGCTTTCATAGCAGTTCTTTGACCTCCTATAGGGACAATCTTTGGGTTCGGTTTGTAGCAGGGGCGGACTGACAACTCATGGGGCTCCCGGGCAATAGGGGATCATGGGGCCCCTGTGTCCTTGCCCAAACTCAAAAAAAGCCTATGAAAAAGGTACCAGGGGCATCTCATTGGGCCCCCTACTGACCCCGGGCCCTCGGGCAGTGCCCGAGTTTCCAAATGGTCAGTCCGCCCCTGGTTTGTACATGAGTTTAGCGAAGCACCAAACCCACTGGCTATATTTGACCACTTTGCCCATGCGATCCCAGATGATGTCATTGACCAAATATTGTCATCGGGGGACAGTGCCATCCTCATGCAATATGCAAGACTATCAGTCTTGCAGTGCACATCCATCAACTGCCAGCCAAATGCCAAAAAGAAGTGGCACAGCATGCCAGGGCAAGAAATAGGGAAGGTATTACAGCTTATTCCTCTGTTGGTGAAAATGTAAATCTTGGAGTGCAAACTAGTTCCTGTTGCAAGGGTAACTTTTTTTTTCTGGCGCCCAAGATGAGGCTTTTAGGTTAAACTCCACTTTTACTGCAATTACATATATTCTGTAGGCTCCCCAGTCCCAAGCTCAGTCCTCGAACCACAAAGATTTCCATTGTGAAGCTTTATCTTCACTGAGGAAATCCATCCCTTTGATTAGTCCTGGCGACCACTGTCACTGAAACAGAAAGTCATGGGAAAGTCAACATTTCTGGCTGTCACCAGAACAAGAAATGAGGAACTGTACACCCAGTGTAGCACACAAACAACGATCACAGAATTCACATTTATGTTGGGAGGGTGTGGGCTTGAAGGAACTATGGCACATATATGGTGGGAATGCCCTAAAATCCAAGAGTTTAGGCAAGAAATACTTCAACAAATTCAGGAGATAACAGGAACTAGAATACCAAATAACCCTTGGGTCCAGGGGCGGACTGACCATTTGGGAACTCGGGCACTGCCCGAGGGCCCGGGGTCAGTAGGGGGCCCCATGAGATGCCTCTGGTAGCTTTCATAGGCTTTTTTGGGTGTGGTTTGAGTGTGGGTAAGGACACAGGGGCCCCATGATCCCCTATTGCCCAGGGGCCCCATGAGTTGTCAGTCCACCCCTGCTTGGGTCTGAATATTTCCCAAAGGGGACTTTTCAGTGAATCAATATAAGAACACAGTAATATTTCATTTAATATACGCAGCTAAAGGTTTGATCCCAAAATTTTGGCATAGCAAAGACATTCCTAAAATAAAAGATTGGATTAGCAGAGTGGAATACATATACCGGATGGAGGAACTTTACCATATTTGAGAAGATAGAATTAAAAAATTTAGAAAAACGTGGGGGAGATGGATAAATTATAAAACAACTAAGAATTATGCAGAATTGAGAGGGCTATGAGAGGGAAAATTGAAGAGAAAGGTAGGAAGCGATAGATTGATGATAGAGGTTAATAGAAGGTTTAGGTGGCCTGGGGGGAGGGAGAGGGGGGTGGAGGAGGGGAGGGGGGGATGAGGGGTTTTCTGTAAGAATTTTGATATTGAAAATGTATTGTTGTATTATGTGAAATAATGTATGTTTTAAAAGTTAATAAAATATATAATAATAAAAAAAAAAAAAAAGAACAAGAAATGAGGAAAAATATTTGTGAACTGTGGTTACTCTCATTTATCCAGGTCATATTCAACTGGACCTGGTCCTGGTCATACTCTCATTTATCCTAGCAATAGTTAATCATATTCAACTGGACCTGTCCTCTAATGTTGAAGACCTTTCATAGCCTTTCCAAGCCAGTTCTAATAACTGAACATACACCTGTATTGTTATCCACACTGGTAGAACATCTTAATCCAATCACCATGGAATTTGTAGATGCTAATTGTCCAAGGAGAAGCAGGTGTGAAAGTTGTGGAACCACCATGATCAAGTTACATCAACATATATCTTGGTGTCAGGAAGTCATTATATGTGGAAGAGGGTGGTGAAAGCCCCCAACCGTGTTAAAAGATGGGTATTCCAGGTTGACACAGATGACCTCTTTCGGGCCTCTTGGAATCCAGTTGTCCTCTCTGTCAAGAATGTGCACCTCCCTTGAAAGAAATATCCTTGTTAAGTCCTGACCTTCAGAATTTGCCCACTTATGTTGGGCTGTTCATTAACACCTGCAAATTTTCTTGACACCAAGGATGGGATAGAAAAATAGAATGGGTTGGCTCCACAACTTTCACAACTGCCATCTTTTCTTGTACAATCAGCATCTACCTTGACACATTCCATGTTGATTGGAATGAGGTGACTGTGCTACCTGACACTCATTAGAACTGAAGAAGTGAATCAATGAAGCTATGAACATCTTCAATGTTACAGAACAAGTCCAGTCGAATGTGACTGACTATTACTAGCTGTATTTGCTATTTCTTTTCCTCTGTTACAAGCTTTCAAAGTGTCCAAAGTGCTGTCAGTGAAAGACATTTAAAATTGCAATGTTTCATTCTGTCTTCAGCTTCTTGAGTTATTTAACAGATAAGTGTGGAATGTTCAAATTGTTTTAAGAACCCATAGGGAATATTTATAAAAATTCACACATGGCGGAAAACAGGCAATTTCTGTCCATTACCAAAAATAAAAAAAAGTTTTAACAATTTAGTTCTCAGAATTCTGAAAATATGGGATATAAATTATCTGCGGTTTAAAAAAACAAAAACATAGAACAAAGCCCAGCATTCAGCCAACAGAAGTGTTATACAGAGATGAGGTTTGGTTACCCACCAGGGGAATCCTACGGGTTCAAGACTCACAATCCCAGCGAAATATGTGCAGGTTTGCCTGGAAGAATTTTCCAAAATCATGTTGCACTGCATGGCCTTTGAACTATCGCCTGCAGGATCAGAAGGGCTTGCCTATACGGGCAAAGCGAACTTGGACAGATTGGCCCATCACTGGCATTGTACATGTCCTCCACATTTATTTGTAAGTGTCCATTTAAATACAAAAGGCACTCATAGACCTTAAAAGACAGCTGAATCATACAACTAATGTGCATAAGATACCTGCAGATACCACTAGCCAGGGCTCATTGGTGGTGGTGGTGTCAGGAAGGTTAGGGGGTTGAGTAGTTATAAAACCTTGTCTAATCACCATTGAATTGCACCTGATCAGTACAGATGGTGTCTACAGAACTCTTCCCCCACCTTTGCCCATAGGCATAAACATGAACAGTCAAACGGGAGGAACCTGCAACCGCATTGCTCCAGACCTGCACCTCATGTAGTCTCTGTGAACGTCTAGGGTGCTGGCTCAAAATACCCATCTCCTCTTGCAATTTGAACATAGATGGATAACAGCCACACACCAAATATCTCTTCCATTTAAAGATTCTTTACTGAATCATCAGTGGCATAGCTGCTTCTATAGGAGTTTGCATGTTCTCCCTGTGCTTGCGTGGGTTTCCTCTGAGTACTCTGGTTTCCTCCCACATGCAAAAGACATGCTGGTAGGTTAATTGGATCCCGTCTAAATTGTCCCTAGTATGTGTATGTATGAATGTGAGTTAGGGACCTTAGATTGTACACCCCTTGAGGGTTAGGGACTGATGTGAATGTACAATATATTATTATTATTATTATACAGTATTTATAAAGCGCCGATAGTTCACTCAGCGCTGTACATTACAAAGGGGGACAGAACATGTGACAGAACAATAACAAAACAATGCAAAACATGAGGGGATTGAGGGCCCTGCTCTCTCGAGCTTACAATCTAGGAGGGAGGGGATGATGGCACAGGAGGAGATAGCTGTGGGGGATGGAGTGGTAGGAAGAGTGGAGGAGGTCGGCAAGTTAGCAGGGGGTGGGGTAGGCTTCCCTGAAGAGGTGGGTTTTCAGGGTGCGCCTAAAGGAGAGGAGAGTAGGTGATAATCTGATGGGTTGGGGCAGGGAGTTCCAGAGGATGGGTGACACCCTGGAGAAGTCCTGGAGGCGGGCATGGGAGGAGGAGACCAGGGAACTAGAGAGAAGGAGGTCTTGTGAGGAGCGGAGTGTGCGTGCTGGGTGGTACTTGGATATTAGGTC